CCCTATATTCACAGATTACTCAATATCAAAATTGTCAAAGCATTGTCATATTTTATATATTCACCTCTCTCTCTCTCTCTCTCTCTCTCCCCCTGCCACCTATCTGGTGACAGCTTGGGAATGTGTTACTTTCACTGAATGAGAGTTTAGTACAGAAGTTAGAAGGTGAGCTCTCCAATCTGGCAGTTTTTTTTTTTTTTACTGATCTGAACAGTATCCTGTTTGTGTACTGATGCACCTTACAGTTCTTGAGGAGACCTCTTTCTCTCCTGATCTTTTCCTTCCTCTTTTCCTAAAATTTATCAATAGATACTGATTAGAGAGCTTTACAATGTAGGATATTCGTCTAAATATCAAGAAAGAGGCTCAAAGAGATTGATTTAATGATTTACAGTGAAAGTCCTGAGCCTTACACAGCAACAAATGCCCAACTTGTCACCTTATGTCTTTTAGTTCAGAGTGACAACCCAAAGGCCCACAGCACTCACCACAGAGAGACTTTTTCCATCTACAAGGGGTTGAGAAACCGCAGTGCAACAAAAAAGCTCTTTGTAGCTCCTACAGGAGATTCTTGCTTCAGTCCATATGATGAACTTTTTAATGAGAAGAGATGTGCATTAAGGGCTGAGATTAAGAAAATCTGAAGCAAGTTGTGCTTTCTTATTGGCTTTATAAACCTTGTCCTACCACACACAACTGGAAAATGCCAACTTTTTTTTCAAATGCTGTGCTACCAACAAGGTCACCATCATCCAGATGCTTCTTTTTCCTGTGCAGACATCTCACTTCATAAAATAGTTCTAAGGTGATGCTAAGGACCAAGAAAGATGTAAACATATCCACAACTGTCAAACTGTTTTGCAGTTTTCATTGAAGTCTGAAAAGCTGTTTTTAAATTTGAAACAGAATTGGTTGTCACTTTGGTTTTAAAATTGATCTGGATGGAAAAACAGTTCTCTTGGTGCTTTTCACCTTACACAAAAGGGGAAACTTTCTTGTGTCACATTTCTGGTCAATATTTCTGTTTGAATTTGTAACTGCCCTTTAAAATTGCAACTGTAAAATGATACTGTACTTGTAAAACAAAAGTACAGTATCCTAAACCCAAAATGTAATGACATAGATATTGGTGACATATCAGAGATCAATTTAAATGATATATTGAATAAGAACTAAAAGTCAGCAATCTCATGTCTCAACCAATGACAAATTGGAGCTGCAAGGTGGCTATATCTATTTCTTACAGAAGGGCAGAACTTACAAGACCCATAAAGAATTATGCAGTCAACACCTAGAACAGTTCTATCAATGGACCTGCATAATAAGTTGATGTTGGCTACTCAGCTTAAAATAGTTACAGGTTCTTCAGTTCTAGTAGGAGAATATTCAGAGTTAGAGAAAATTTAAATGATTTCTTACAGCTAGTAACCAGTGTGATCTTCACATATAATAAAGAATTTTATACAATAGAATTTCTGTGCATTATATATTCTACATGAATAAAATAATATGCCAAATTCTCCAGCAGGATTAAATATACTTAAACTGAATTTTTATAAGACATACACATTTAGCACAGAATAGACAAGTTCAATAAATGCTAAATTTTACTTCTTTGGAACCAGTTCACTAAAATGAAAATTGGTAAACGAAGGACAAGTTTCAGCAATTTATCTTGCCTTTTCCTTAGAAATCATACATCATAGTAACAAAATAATTGTTACTAGAACACAAAAACAAGTTATGTGATGTTGGTAACATGAGTTTACACATGTGTTAAACTTTATACACACATGCATGCTTTCTCCCTCAAGCAAATGAATGCATTTAAAGCCCAGAACCCCAAATAAGGTCTGTGGATTATGCTAATGTCAATGCCTTGCCTTTGGCACTGTACTCTAGGGATATAAAATATTATTTGGAGAAAATTGAGTGCATGCCTATGTAATGTTTTATTTTTGCCACTTTCTTTCAATCTATATTCATTTCAAAATAAAAGGTGAAAAAACAAGTTAACAGAAGACTGTATGCATATTCCCTTATTGTTAGCACTAGCTGTCTTCATTTTCCTTTACTTTATATCTCAGCTACAGTACCGGTCCTCTCATTAAAGTCAAATTCTGTTATATATATATATATTTTTTTTTAAATATTTATTTATTTATGTAAGAACCGGGGTACAGGCCAGATGACGGGAGGGTGAGAAGATTCACCAGAGACGAACGGAGAACAGAACAGGCAGACTGACGAAATACACTGCTGAGGGGAGCAGCGGGTGAGAGAGGAGAGATCTGCTTCGCTATGGGGATTCTTGCCGGCTGGCAGGCAGGGATCAAACCCATGCTGCAGAGGCTGCCGACAGCTTCACAGTGCGGCACTCAACTGCCTGCACCACCAGGGAGGCCCAAATTCTGTTATATTCTTTACAAAATGTTCATTATAGGGTCTCCCTGGTGGCGCAGCGGCTGAGCGCTGGGTTGCGAAGCTGCCCGCAGCCTCTGCGGTGCCGGTTCGATCCCCAGCTGCTCCCCAGCCACCGGAGGAGGGTCCCACATGGCGCGCAGACCTCTCCTGCCGCCCACTGCTCCCCTCAGCAGTGTACTTCGGTCCTTCTGCCTGCTCTGCTCCCCGCTCTGGCTCTGGTGAATTCTCTCACCCTCCCGCACTTCTGACTGTACCCAGTGCATGTATAAACAAAAAACGAACAAACAAACAAACAAATAAATAAATAAAACATGCCTCTATTTAAAAAAAATAAAAAAAAAAACACAAAATGTTCATTCTACATAGGAGGTATAAATTCAGAGATGTTCATGTAATAAATGGTTTCAAGTCAAAGCTATGGAAGCCATTGCTCATCTATTATAACCTTTTTTATGTTTCTGGACTTGAACATTTCTCAACCACACATCCAAATATGCTCCTAATTGATTATAGTTGGTTCACAGAAAAAATCTACTCCCATCTTCCTGTGCTCAAAGTGACCTTGGATATGCAGATCAGTGGTAGACTTGTAGATAAAGAACCATCTTCAGAGAAAAGAAAAACAACACACACACACACAATATCAAAAGAGGTCAACAACATTACAAGTTTTGTACCTGAAAATTTCCTTTTGATCACTATTATTATCCATTTTGTTTTGGGTAAAGTTGAGAACTCTTGCTTTGAATTCATGGTTCACACAGAGTTTGCTTCCAAATTTTCAAAAAAAACATTCGCTGGGCCATGATCACTTAATTAAATAGTTTTTACTTTTCCTCTGTGTGTTCTTATGCCTTGGAAATGGACCCTTCTGTCTTTTTTCCCCCCGTTCAATCCAGAAAACATTTTCTCTAATATCATATGCCATATATTATAAAACTCACTTTCATTATACTATATACATATATTTTAATAAACTTGGATTGATATTCTTATTTTGAGCTTAATTATATATTAGAAGCACTAAAGATACAGATGAGCATCACATTATTTGATTATTACACAATGTTTCAATGCAAAGTAGAGAAAACCTTTCATTTCTTTCTTAAGGTAGAAGGACGATATATATTATTACATCATTTACAACTTTCAACAAGGTGTGAAGTAGGAGAAATGAACTTTATTTCTATAATATATTCAGATTAAAAAAATACCATGTTTCAAAGCATTTGAGATCTAAAATATGATGTTTTGATTAACTGCTTATTTTTTTTTGTCGATGAAAACGTGAATATGTTTAAAATTCTGAGTACTGAGAACTAACTAGTAAAATCAATAATTCTTTTTCTGTTGTCCTCACTTTGGTATTTTTTCCTATGGGATAAACTGATTATATTTTCATTCTTTTACTTGTCTTCTGTTTGTCATAAAAATTTGGAGAGGTATTTTATTCTTTTCCAGTCCAGGATGAATCTTGGACTTCCATCGTCTCAGCAATCTAAGGTTCAGAAATATTCCTTTCCACCTCATCATTAGTGTTTCATCAAATTATTTAGAGTACTAATATTATTTTTAATCTGTCTTTTGGTTTCTGCAGTAGTCAAGTTCAAAGGGAAGGGAGAGTCTAATGTTGATGGAAGATTTGAAGGTAATGTGAATGAGACACTGAGTGTGGGCTCAGACCATCTCAGGTGATTGTAGAGGAGAAGGGTGTGTGTGTGTGTGTGTGTGTGTGTGTGTGTGTACATGGAACAGTAATGGGAGGTCACTCTGGTTCTACCTTTTTGACCCTGCCTTCCTTAGCTGAGTTAATGAGGGAGAATCAGAAACACAGAAGACAGATGGAAACACCAACCACTCTGTGGTAATTCAAGTGAATGAAAACCCACAAAACATATAGACACAGGGAACTGACTTAATTTAAAATATATTACAAGTGAGCTGTGGAGGAATACAACTTGTATTTCATACTTAAGTCACCTTGACAAAATACTTAGTTCTATGATGAATTATTTTTCTCACTGATAAAGTAAGATTTATTCATTTTCATTTTAATCTATTTTTCAGAAATAAATGAGGTAACATATGCCAAATGCTTTAATATGTTTTATAAGGTAACTGAATGCTTATTATTAGAAAGGAAAATACTGTATCAAATTTTATGATACTGAGTACAATTACCTTGGGTTTGCCCATATTTTTCCTATCCAAACACATTTTAAAAATGATTTTGATGTTCAAACACATAAAAAAAAAATCACACTGTCTTCTTTTGTGATAGACAAAGGTTTCTCATTATACAAATACGTAACAATTTCCTGTGCTGTGGTTCTGGAACACTTTAGAAGCTAGTGATTTTGCTGCTTCTTGTTAATCCTCTACATCTGTGTCTCACCAATAGATGACTCAAGAACACTATTTGAATGCGCAATTTTTTTCAGTTTCTTCCTGTACAGCTTTGACTTCCTTAGGCTCCAGCTCAACTTCGTGATCCAACACCCTTCTTCGTGATGCAACACCCTTCTTCATGAATAAGCAAACCTCCCACCTACATTGACCTCGGAGCACCATTTCTCATGGCAGGTATGTGCAGCCCAAGTCATACAATTAACAAATAAAAATAACAAGGAAAGTTATCTCATGGATATTGCTAATTTGCATGCAGGGTTGGGGGAAAAGTGAGATTATTAAGTTTCCCATGCATCAGTGCTTTTCATTTAATTTTATTTTTTTGACTCTTCATTCTGCAACTTAGAAATTATTTTTTGAAGCTTTCCCCCAAAATTTAAAGAGTTGTTTCTGATATCACTAGATACTGAATGGGAAATTATTTACTTGGTTCAATTATAATTTGAGCATAGAAATAGAAAATGCCAAATATTAGTTATGGTGCTTATAAGTGTTTTTTAAACATTTGCCACTTGTGTCATAATATTGAAAAGCCACCCAGATTAAAAGGGATACACTGGACTGTTAAAGAAAACATTCTGTGGGTGTGTGCTAATGTTAATGCAGAATTATCTCCTTTTCTTCTTTATTATAGAAATATTTCAATACAATTGTAGGACAGTAATGAATTCCCCTTCAATTCACTGAATATATTCAAGGTATTAATAAAAATATTATTCATATTTTATCACTCTCTTAATACAATTAATGTATTTGGTTCTTAGAGATAAGAATAATTGTCATATTCATTCATATTGACTCTGCTAGTCAAATAGCATGTAAGTAAATCTATGGATGCTGTTAATGGGGCTGCAGACCCTTTTGAAATCTAAATGAATACCTTCTCTTTTAAATGTCCTGGTACTTGAATCCTAGAAAGAATAGTCAACTAATTTAAGACATTAATTTTATACAATTTTAACATTAAAAGATAATTTGATACTTTATCAAATGTCATACCTACCTTAACATGTAGACACCTATAGATTCATATAAAGGTAGATAAAACCATCAGTGTAAGTTCAATATTGGATTCTTGTGATTTTGTTGAGAAATAAAAGAAAATATCTGTTATTTAAACCCATAAAGCAGACCTTTGTGTCTGTTGTTATCACCTTAAAATTTCCAAGCTTCTTTGTCAAAATAAAAAATAACTACTACTGCTTTACTGACACAGAACTGGAAAAAAGAAAAAGTATGGATAATCTCACTGAAAAATACAAAGTATACCTCTTCAAAATTTTGGTATTTGGTGGAGTTCTGACTGGAATGTCTTCGTTTTCCAATGTTTCATTGACAAGATGATTGGTTTACCAAACCAAAGAACTTTTTGTTTTTTCTTGCACTTATTTCTGCTTTTAAGATCTTCAACTTCTGTGTTTTACCCTTGAAGTCATTACCCTACCTCTCTTTCTCTATTATTATGCCATTTCTCTTTCTCAACAGAATTTCGGTGTACGCTATGGAGTTGGATTTCTGGGATCTTAGGAATAATGTGCCTTTCGTTGATGGCTACTTTGGGAATTGTGTTGACAAAATGTAAGTTTTTCTATCCAAGTTTATATAACTTCCAAAGCTGATGAAATCATTTAATAATAAATTGCTCATTTTACTAATGTGTTTTACTTTATTATTTCATAAACATATCTAATTAGGTAAATTATTAATTAGTTCTTATAGCATTTCATGAACCAAGTGTTGAGCCACCAATGTCTACAATGTCTCCAGGAACCATTGTACAATTCCAGAAAGGTGAGTTCCATACTTTGTAAGTCTTCGTGTCAGTGGAGAATTAATTAGGCAAGTGTTTGCTTTTCTCAATGAAACCACAATGGATTATTAATTGTTAGGTAGTCTCATTTTATTGTTCTTTAATGCAAAATTATCAAATTATATTATGTATCATTTGTATATGTAAGTAATAAGGAACATATTAGCCTGAAATGACCTATTTCTTCCTATATGAGTGCTCATGTTTAAGTAACAAATAAAAATAAGTTATAGTAAATTTTATAGATAATCTTACCTCCTGTATTTGCTCATAACTCATATGTATATCTCTCTTTATGTTTGTTTCTGCTTTCTGCTACCACTGAGATATCAATGCAGAGATTTCTGCAATTCTAAACCCTTCTTATTTCAGGAATGCCAACTCAAAGAGCAACTTTTAATATTGTTTTTCCAAATGTTGTCCAAGTTGTCTTCCCATCTTCTGTGATCACATAACATTTTATTTATGTACTCTTTCCCTTAGTTTTTCTGGCACTCTTGGAATATAGTTGACGTGAAGCATTGTGTAAGTTTAAAGTATAGTGATTTATTGGATGAACTTAGATATTGCAGTTTGAGCCCAACATATCATTGATAAACCCCCATCATATCACATAATTTCATTTCATTTTATAGTGAGAACATTTAATATCTTCTCTTTTCTGCAACTTATATGTAATAGAGTTGACTATTATCACAATCCTCAGAACTTATTCCTCTTCTAGTTGAAAGTTTACACCTTTTGACCAGTGTCTGCTTATCCCATGTCATCCCCAAACCCCAGCCATTATAAACAACATTCTACTCTACAATGTCTGCACCTCTCATTTGGCAAAGATTTGAGTGCCTACCATGTGTTATGGCTTTTGTTACTGATTATAGTAAATGGCCAAGGTGCTATCAGTGGTAAACTCTATGATGAGACTACAAGGCAGTTATTTAGTTTCATTTTGAAAATCAAATATATAACATGTATGTCAGAATTCTTCCAATATATCACATACTTTCTTACTTAGGAAATATGTGAAAATGCTTTGTTCTTTTAAATATCTGTGAGCTTGAGTCTACTCTTAGATCTAGCTACTCCTAAAAGACAAGAAAAAGAGTAAATTCTACAAAGTAACTTTTTAAAGCACATTTAGAATATTCAAATCTATGCTCAGTTAGATTCTCAAATATTTAATAGAAAGTAATGAGTAGTAAATGATTTTTGAATGAACAAAGAACACTGAAAAAACAGAAACTGCAGTGTCTTATTTTCTCTTAGAAATTTTTTTTTTTTCACTTAGATTCTGGACATAGTTCTTGCCAAGAGACATGGGTTGGCTACCAATGCAACTGTTACTTCATTTCCAATGAATTCAGAACGTGGAATGAAAGTAGGGATTTCTGTGTTTCTGAGAATTCTACTCTACTTCAGCTGGACAACAGAGATGAACTGGCATGTATATAATTCTGGTTTCTTATATGTGTCTTGACCTAGCAAAATGTGTATTCATGAGCTGAATACAATTTGATAAGTCATCAGATAGTAATGATTTGATAGTATCCTTTAGCTTGAAGCAATAATTATAAAACCTACATAAAATTTGTAAAAGATTTATGTTATTGGAGTGACATTCAAGAATGAATGACAGATAAAGTACAAGAAATATTTTAGAGTGAGCGCAAAGATGATCTAATAGGTTTATTTTATTTTAAGAAGCCCACTAAATGGCCTTATACATTTTAGTTCAATTGATTTTATAATTTATTTTGTAGTTCTTTATATTTTGTCATCATTTTGGGATGTGGAATGAATATACGTTCAATCATAAAAATTACCCAATTTTTAAGAAAAAATAAAATACTTCTCTAGCTGCATGCAAATCTGTGCTGAATATAGACTGAGAAGGTTATATCTATAAAATGTATCCATTAAAACACTGATGTGGAATCAAATTTGAATGCTGGTCTTCTGTGAAGGAAGTGTTCCCTGAAATTTCTGACTTCTTTTATAATATTTTTCATTCTGTCGATATATGAGATTTTGTGTTATTTTATTTTTCCTATAATGTGGATGGTCAGATATGTGAGGACATAAGAGACTTGTGTTTCAATTTTTGAGATTGAGAGTCTATATCTGAAGTTAGACAATAACTTTTTAAAAATTTTCTTACATAGTTGTTTGTTTTTGTACAGTAATTGATTTCTCCCCTCAAATGTAGTCCCCATAATTCTCCTGCCACCATAGCACCCATGTACCATAACTTTTTAAAAGAATGTTAATCCATAGATTTAAATTATGTTAATTTGTTTTTTTCTATTTCCAAGCAGAATTTTATGAAATTTAATGCAAACTTTTACTGGATTGGAGTCACCTACAGTGCAGATTACCATGACTGGGTTTGGTTAAATGGCTCTGTTGTCACCCAAGAGTAAGTTTCTGGCAGTCATTGGTCTTTTCTGATTTTACTGAGTTTATGCTGAGATTTCACAAGAGAATGTAACATCCAGGAACACCAAAGCTAAGTTAACCTATAAGAGCATGACAATGTGGAAAAGAGAATAAATTTAACAATAATTCAACAGCAATATTTGCTATATCTAGAACATCCAAGTTTATGCTCAAGTGACATGAAATTTGTGTGTTTGTGACTATAAAATGGCTTTTGACATAAGCCTTTTCTCCTTTTGTTTTCTATTACACTGGATGTACGTGCATGTAGAGTTGTCCCATTCACAGGCTCTGGCCAGAGAATGGTGTAGCCATTATTTTCTTTATTCTGGTGGGACCTAGTATAATCAGCATCCTCTCCATGTTTCAATTTTTTTTTGTGTATTTGTAATCTTGCAATCTCATGTTCAGTCATAAACATGGAATTTCCATCATCATACAACGGCAATCTTATGTTCTGCCTTATTTTTCTAGACTTGATTAGCCTATATGTCTTTAAGCAAAATAGAAATAGTATATATCATATATCAAAGCTATTAATTACAGTGAGACCTCAAGATGATTATTGATTATTGAGGCAATAACTGAGTTTTTGTAACATTGTATCTGAAACTGTGAAAACTTTGGCTATTGGGTGAAATGATTCAGTAATCACTATGTTAGTATATCATAAAATGCTTCAAAAGTTCTATCTGCTAATAAAGAGTGGCATTTCTGCATATTCTCATTTCCTTTTCTCATGTGCTAATATTTTACTTTTCTTTACAGATTTCCGATAAATATTAAAGCAAGAGAAAACAAGTGCCTAACATACAGTGGAGAGAAACGCACTTTGGGTAAATCCTGCAAAAGTGAAAGTTATTTTATCTGTAAGAAACAACTTATTTAGGTGTTTGTTATGGTGGAAGCGGTGAGCAGTGAGGTTCATTTTAAGAATGGTAATGTTATCTCTTAAATTGTTACAAATTAGCTACTTTTGGAATCTTTAAGGGTTTCAGATTATGTCTTGTATAATTTTCTTATATTTGAAGACACATGCTTTTAATTTTTTTTAAGATTTATTTATTTATACAAGCACTGGGTACAGTCAGAAGCATGGGAGGGTGAGAGAATTCACCAGAGCCAGAGCGGGGAGCAGAGCAGGCAGAAGGACCGAAGTACACTGCTGAGGGGAGCAGCAGGCGGCAGGAGAGGTCTATGCGCCATGTGGGACTCTCCTCCGGTGGCCGGGGAGCAGCCGGGGATCGAACCGTTGTTGCAGAGGCTGTGGGTAGCTTCACAACCCAGCGCTCAACTGCTGCGCCACCGAGGACGCCCCACATGTTTTTAAATTGATATTTGTGCACTTACACCTGAAAATATAAAGAATCATGGTAAATTTGATGTACTGAATATTTTCAGTAGCAAAGTCAATTCATTTTTGTTTATATTTTTGTAAATTTTCTCTGAATAAGTTTAATTAATTCCCATTAAAATATCTACTATTAATTCTACTATATTAAAAAATTTCACTGAATTTCAGAGACAGGGGATTTTTATATCTGTACAATAGGACACTGGAATTTGGGTGGGGTGTCCTCTTAGAACTCTGCCTACCATCCAAACAAATATCTAAAATGCTACTTTATGGATTATTATTATTATTATTTTTAAAGACCTATTTATCTATGCATACAAGAATCAGGGTACAGGCCAGAGATGTGGAGGGTAAGAGGACTCACCAGAGACAGAGTGGGGAATAGAACAGGCAGATCAACTGAAAGACACTGCTGAGGGGAGCAGCAGGCAAATCAGGAGAGGTCTGCTGCACCATGTGGGATGCTCCCTGGCTGGCCGAGGATCGAACCATGCTGTAGTGGCTGCGGATAGCTTCATAGGTTGCATAACCCTTTGAGCCACCAGGGAGGTCCTTTACAGATTATTTAAAATGAAGCATTTACTTTGATTTGTGATTTGATAACTAAGAATTTAATTTATACATGTGAGCACAAGAAATCCTTTTCTATTCATTCTGATATATTAATTTTAATCCATCCATTAGTGTTATCTAGCTTTGCTTAATAAAAGTAGAGTTTTTTAAAAATTTATTTATTTTTGTGTAGAAAACTGGGGTGTAGGCTAGAGGTGCGTGGGTTGAGGGGATTCATCCAAGACAGAGTGGGAAGCAGAACAGGTGGATGTACTGAAATACACTGCTGAGGGGAGCAGCAGGCGAGACAGGAGAGGTCTGCTGCGCCATGTGGATTAGCTCCCTGGCCGGCGATTGAACTCAGGCCTTAGCAGTGACAGTGCTGAGACTTGACCACTAGACCACCAGGGATGCCCCAAAAGTAGAGTTATTTTACAAGCAGACTGGGACAACTCTTTGCTTTCTGCAGAGATGCTTCAGTGTCTGTTTTTGATTCTTGATCACAATGAAGCAGTGTGCTAACTAACTAATTACGAGCTAACTAGTGACTTAGGATAAGATTTTTAAGTTCAAAATTAGGGCAAATTAATTTACTATTTAAATATTTCAATTTATACTTCAAATAATTGGTTAGATATCCTGTTCTGCTATTTGACCAAAATATGCAGGAAACTTCTCCTTAAGTGCCTCTTAATCCAGGTTTTATCACAAAACTGTCAGCAGTTTCTCCAGAGATTGATCATGTCTTCATTAAATAGAAATATTGGGAAACATGTTTCTGATGTTTCATGGTCCTTGGTGCTTATTTGAATTTTTATTTTTTTCTCCTGCTGTATCATATTGTTTGCCTTTATTAAAAGTATTGCTTGAATATGCTCATTGGAGTTTTATGATTTCTTTCCATTGTCTAAATCTTTTATTATTTCCATAATTTTTGATTTTTTGAAACTTTTTAATTTATATCCTAGTGCAGGAATTATAAAATTTTCTCTCAAGAACTAGTGAATATTTTCAATTTGTGGACCAACTGTTGAAACTCTTCAGTTCTGCCATTGTAGTACAAAAGAAGACACTGATAACAGTTAAACAGTTTATCTGTGTTATAAAAGATCTTTATTTACAAAAACAGATGCCAGGGAAAGAGAATCTGTTTGCTTTCTCAACACATATTGACCACAGAGCTTTACAGTGTAGGTTTTTTGACTAAAGGTCAAACAGTGACATTTCAATGATAGTAAAATACCTGAGATTTGGATGTCCAAAAGTGATCAATTTGTCACCTTTGGTGTGTTAGTTCAGAGTGAGAACCTCAAGGCCCACAACACTCACCACAGAGAGACTGTTTCCAGCTGCAAGGAGTAGAGAAATCTAGTACAGCCTGCGAGCTCTTTGCAGCTCCAGCATGAGAATCTCACTGCAGTCCAGGTGATGGGCTTGTTAGTGAGAAGTGATGTGCAGTAAGGGCTGACATTAATAAAATTTGAAACATGTCATATGTTTATTCCCCTTTGGCTTTTTAAACTTCATCCTACTTATATCAATGGAGAATGCCAACTTTTATCCAAAATATGTTATCAACTAAGTCACCCAACTAAGTTACCTTTCTTTTTGTACAGACATCTCATATTTTAAAATGGAAATTAGGTTTAATGTCAATTTGTATCTTTCATTGAAGCCTGAATAGTCTATTCTAGAATTTGTAGCAGAATTGGTTATTGTTTTGGTTTTAATATTGATCTGTTTATTCCTCTGGATGGAAAGAAGGTCTCTTTGGTCCTTTTAACTTCAAAAGGGGAAACTTTCTTTTGTCATGTCTCTGTTCAATATCTCTGACTGAATTTGTAATTGCCACTTAAAATCACATCTAAAATGATATCATATTTGTTAAAAGAACAATATAATTTCCTAAATCCAAAATATAAGTTTAAAGACATTGAGTAACATATTAGAGATCAAATTAAAACAATGTGTTGAGTAAGAACTGAACATAAGGATGTCAACCAAGGACAAAATTTCCTCATTTGCTTGGAGCTACAAGGTGATCATCTTTACTGCTGTGAAGAGCAAGGCAAGACCTGTAATGAGCAATCCTGGTGGACTCTTACAGAAGTTCTGTTATTCAAATTGAAGGACCAGCAAAGGCTGTTTGCTAATTGGAGATAATGTCAGGAGCTTTAACTCTAGGACAAAGTAGCCACAGTTAGGCAAAATTGAAATGATTTCTAAGAGCACACAAACTTGTGTTATTCTCACATTAATGAAAGTATTGCTGTAGGGTAAATGATTTTCAGGCTTTTCTGTCCTCCTGCCATTAGGAATGCATGCCTGATAGAGGATACCTGCATTTTGTTACATTGTTATATTTAGTTGTATCCTTTACTTCTGTGGGCCAAGGCTGCAGTATTTATATATTCGGCAAGAGAAGTAGAGGAGAGAGAAGCCACAGAGCCTAGAAAGAGGGAAGACTCACCTGGAGCTGGGTGGCCTGCCAGCCTCCGGTCCCCTACGGCACCGCTGCCTGCTGTGTACCTGGTAAAATCCCAATAAAAGACTGAAAAAGCCACAGAGGGCTCCAGGACTCTCCTTTACCCATCTGCTCGGATTACAAGGAACCAGCTGTGTGCCTTCCTGGCACTACATTGCACATACAGAATTTCTCGTGTATTACAAATTTCTACATTAGCAAAATAGTGTAACCCAAAATTCTTCCCAAGGATTATAAAACATACACATTTGGCACAGTAGAGACTAGTAATAGTAATATGTGCTCAATAAATGTCAAAATTCTCACCCAGTGAACCAACTCATTAAAATGAAAGTTAGCAAAGTAAAGGATTAAATCATTTATATTGCTTTTATTTAATAACCATATTTCAGAAAAACAAAATAATTATTGGTACTAATTTTTCTAGAATATAACAATAATTGTTATACTCACACACACACACACATACACACACATACATTCAAGCAAATGAATGATATAAAATTGTTGAAATTTGAGTAAGGCCTATGGATTGTGCTAATGCCAGCATCTTGGTTTTAGCTTTGTTTTCTAGTCTTTTTTTTTTTTTTTAAAGATTTATTCATCTATTTATACAAGCACTGGGTACAGTCAGAAGCGCGGGTGAGAGAATTCACCAGAGGCAGAGCGGGGAGCAGAGCAGGCAGAAGGACAGAAGTACACTTCTGAGGGGAGCAGCGGGTGGCAGGAGAGGTCTGTGCGCCATGCGGGACAGGATATTACTATTGCAGAAAACTGATTACCTGGTGCAAGCCAACTCCCTATACTATATTATGTTGTTACTTTCTGTCTATCTATGTTTGTTTCAAAATAAAAAGTGAAAAAATACAGAATTATCAGAAAACAATATATATATATTTCCTTCTTATTAGCACAAGCTATCCTTATTGTTCCTTTATTTTTATGTCTCAGCTCTATCATTGATTGTCTCACTAAAGTAAAATTGTGGTTATATTCTTTAACATTCAAACCACATTATAGTTGCAAATTTAGAGATGGCGAATGTAATAAATGTTTTCAAATCAAAGCTCATGGAAATCATTGCTCCTTTATTATAACTTGATTTCTTGCTGATTCTGAGCTTGAACATGTTCTTAGTTGTTTATAGGTGTTTCTAGTTCTTCATAGTTAATCCACAGAAGAAATTCATGCCCTTCTTCACTGTGCTTCAGAGTGAACTTGCATGAGTAGATCAGTGATAAACTTGTTCATAAAAGGAAAAACAATACAAAAACACACAAAAATTATTCTGAGAGGTCAAATTTTGAGTTCATCCTCCTAGAATTTTCATGCCTCAAACTTTCCTTTTGCAATCATTACTATCTGTTATGCTTTGATTAAAGTTGACATCACTCAGGGATCCAAATTGGGCCCCAAGTGATGTAAATCAAGAAATGCATCTTATCCACTGTTCACAGTAATTTGCACCTAAACTAGTCAGCTTCCATAATGTGAAGGTGCCATCATGAGAACTTGAGAATAAGCAGGACACATGAGAATTGATATTAAATTGTTCTACTTATATGTACTTCAAAAATTAAACTATAGGGCATGGGAGAAAAACAAACAAAAAAATCAAAACCAAAAAATTAAACGGTAGTGTTAAGAGTCCAAGATGATGGTAGTATCTGAAAGAAAAAGAGGGTATTTTCTGGAAGTTTAAGAGAAGAGAGATCTTGGCATGCAGGAAATGTTCTTTGTCTTCACTGGATGTAGTTACTTGAGTGTTGTCCCTGATAATTATTAAACCTTATGATTTTATTACTTCTCAATATATGTCATATGTATATATTTTAAAAGGGTGAGAAGAAAGAATATGTCATTGATTTTTTTTAGCATTGTGGCTTAATTAATTAATTTTTTTTACATCATTGTTCATTTTTGTACAATATTTGATTTCTCCCCTCAGGTGTAATCCCATAAAAGTTCCACCACTACATCTCTGAGAACCATCACCATGGTCCCTTGTGTTCTTCCCTCCTCTCTTTTGACCCTTCGCTACCCCCATCCTTGCTGTATGTCTCAGATTTATAATTTGCCTGCTATTTTTATCTTTTTTTTCTGACTCCTTGTTCAGTTCCCCTGTATTCCTCCTATAGGTGAAGCCATCCGATATTTTTCTTTTTCCTTCTGACTTGTTTCACTGAGCATAATTCCTTCCATCTCCATCCACGTTGCTGCAAATGGCATGGATTTATCTTTTTTGATTGCTGAGTAGTATTCCATTGTATATATATACCGCATCTTCTTGATCCAATCATCTGTTTTTGGGCATTTAGTTTTTTTCCCCCATATCTTAGCACTCCTATGTTTATTGCAGCACTATTTATAATCACTAATTTTTTTTTTGGCATTGATTTAAGGCAGTTCTGATATCTATTTCTCACTTTACAGTAGCCACACTTCTGTATTTCCAAGTCTTATTTGTCTTATATGATACGCTCAAGTTCCAATTTTACTGTGGTTCTTCATTTCTTTCTGAACTTGTCATCTAGTCCAGTTGGGGTTAAAAACAGATTCCAGTGTTACCTCCTTTATAATGACTCAAACATTTTGCTGGAGAGCTTGAATTCTAGGGGGATCAGAATTTCAGTGTATTTCAGTTAGAGACTATAATTGAATCAATATTTAATTAAAAAAACATGTATTACACAGTTTCCTTTCCTTTTGGTAAAAACTTCAAAATTAATCTGAACATTTATTTTGATAAACATTGAATGAAGTTTTAAACAAATTATCTAGTTATATCTCACATGCTAAAATAACCATTGGGTGCTTTGACAAATTATGTGACTATCATAAAATTCAGGTTTTTAAAACAATGTAACTAACTTTTGGGAAAAGTTACAATATAAATCATTAATAAAGATTAAATATAGATACCTATGTCTACAAAACTGAAATGGGCCTGATCATGAATAAAATATCAATATATGTATTTAATACTCTCATTATGATATGTCATTTATCTTTTATTTTTATTTTTTAAAGATTTATTTACTATGCATATAAGAACTGTGGCACAGGTCAGAGGTGTGTGGGGTGAGAAGATTCACCATAGACAGAGTGGGGAGCAGAAAGGGCAGACTGACAGAAATACACTGCTGAGGGGAGCGATGGATGAGCCAGGAGAGGTCTGCCACATCATGTGGGTAGCTCTCTGGCTGGAAATCGAACTCGTGCTGTGGAGGCTGCGGATGGCTTCACAGTGTTGTGCTTAACCTCTTGCCCCACCAAGGAGGCTCTGATACATCATTTAAATAAGGTTTTAGTTCCATGTTTTGTACTTTAGGTGACTAGCGATATAAGTGGCATCCTAATTCTAATATTTGGCTTCCATATGGAGCATATCAATTTTATCCAGTTTTATTCAACAACTACTTAAAATTCTTTGAATCATAATAATATTGTCATTTGTTTTAAAATGAAGTGTTTTTTCCATATCTCTGAAATCTGCTTTGGAGCCATCTTAGAAGTTTACATAGGAAAAGACAGAGGACTTCCTGTGGCTGCATTCAAGACCTGCATTTCTGACTCTCCCTGTTAAAGGACACAGCACTTCCCCACACATTTCACTGGAGTCGGATGCATGAGATGGAATCATTAACTACTTAAAACTAAATCATTAACTACTTTATCTTTTGAACTCTCCAAGATGAGTGCCGCTCAGTAGTGATTTATATCCATATGTGAATGAAGGAAAGATAAAAAAAAGAAAAGATGAGTCGTGATTATTCTCTTATTACAAGAGAAAATCATTTGGAACACAAGGTTTGATGGCTAACTCTGATTGCATCCATTTATTTTATTCAAATTGCAAGGAACCCAGGGTTGCAGTGGTAAAAATAAATACAGGAATCTTTGTTTCTCTGGGCTGTGGGATTGGAATTCATTTTATATATTTGACTATCTCCAACCAGGGCTTTATGATCTCCCCGCCAATGTTAAGACTGACTCACACATTCAGGCCCTGATTGAGGGAGGTTCAGTGCATCTTCCTAGAATCTTTACGTGTCTGAGAGTTCTTGTGCTTTTCTGCTCTTTTGTGTGTGTGTGTGTGTTTAACCTCAGAACTGACCATGGCCATTCATATTTCATAGAATGACACTGAAGGGCAAACTCAGGGTGTGAAATGAAAGACAAAGGGAAGAAAACAGAGTAATAATTACTCCTCTCCGCCTAATTTATCCCAGTCAGTTCAAAGCATGAAAATGTTCCTGTGTCCATACAGATTTCAGACTTGGGCATATTTGTATGCTGGCATGGGTATATACACACTCAGACACACATACACACACACACACACAGAAAATTACACACACACTCACACACATATTCACACATTCTCTTTCTCTCTATCTAACATTATCATCATTATTCTGCACAGTGTAGGAAAAGGGGAAAGATTTAAAAAATATCAAAGCCATTATATTTGTAAGAAATGTCTTAATTGTTTTCTTCAGAAAAATTTAAGTCTGTTCCAACAATAATGGGCCTTTTACATTTTAACAACTCATATTCACTTCTCTACCTCTAGAAGACAGTGAATTATATCAATGTGTATTTTTTCTCATTGTACTAAATATTATATAAATTTTAAATTGTTGTGGAATGTAAAGTAACTCATTAAGTAGTCGGGTAAAGGGAAACTGAAAAAATAACCCCTGATAACTGACTACAGAACTGAAACACCAAGGGGTGGAGGTGGGGTGGGGAGGTGGGGGTTGGGGGTGAGGGGGTAGGGGGTGGGGGATGGGAGAAAGAACAAAGAGGAAAGGAAGCACAGTGATCGATGGTGTTAGAATATGGGTGAGCTCCGTGGTGGGTACACTATAGTGGTAATACCTGACGGGGGTTCCCCAATAATACCTCAGTTAAAACTTAAAGAAATATAAATATCAGGAAATTTTTTAATATCTTGATTTTAATATATTTTATGAACCTTAATTTTAGTCTCTTGCTTTGAAATCATGGTTCACACAATGATTACTTCCTGATTCTCCCCCACCCCAAAAAATGATCTGTGCCATGCTCACTTAAATTAGAGCTTTTTACATTTTCTCTTGGGTGTTCTTGCTCCTCAGCAAAGGAATCACTCGTCCTTTTTTCCTGCTAATTCCAGAAAACACTTTCCCCAAATGCCATGTGTTATATATTATAAAACTCACTTTTATGACACTATTACATATACATCTTAATAAACTTGGGTTGATAGCATTATTTTATTCTAATTGCATATTACAAGTTCTAATGATAATGATGAGCTGCACATAAAAATCCACAAGTTATATAGACAAAGAGATGGTTTGCCCTAAAATATATTGCAAGTGTGCTGTGGAAAAATATTACTTGTGTTCAAACTTAAGTTACCTGATAAAACCCTTTGTTGTACCTTGTCTTAGTTTCCTCATTGATAAAATGAGTAGATTTAAGTATCTTCACTATTAAGCTGTTTTCAGAAATAAATGAGTGAATATATTCCAACTACTTTAACATATTTAGTACATGGTAAATGAATGCTTATTATTAAAAGAGGAAAATATGGTGTCAAATTTTATTATACTAAGGACATTTACCTTTGGTTTGCCCTTTTTACCCTATCTAAACAATTTTTAAAAATGATTTTGATACATTCAAACATTTGATACATTTTGATACATTTAAACATTTATGTTTTAAACATTTAAAAACCTCCACTAAATTTTATTGTGATAGTCAATGGTCAAAGGGTTCTCATGAGACACATATACTAAGGATTTCCTGTGCTGTGGTTCTGGAACACTTTAGAAATTAGTGATTCTGCTGCTTCTTGTTCATACTCTACATCCGTGTCTCACCAATAGATGATTCAAGAACATTGTTTGAATGCACGATTTTATTTCTTTCAAATTTCTTTCTATGCAAACTCAAGATTCCTGTGACCCGATCAGGATCTTCTGGAACAAGCACCCTGCCAGCCTTCCCTCCAGCCACCTGGAGCTTACCTCCTTATGGCAGGTACGTGCAGCCAGATACATACAATTAAACAATACAAATAACCAGAAAAGCTATCTCATGGATGTTTTGTTTTTTATTTTATAGCAAGGCTGGGGAAAAATGACATTTTTAAGTTTCCCATGTAGCAGTACTTTCTTCTTAATCTTATTTTTGTGATTCTTCATTCTGTGACTTACAAATGATTCTGTGAGGCTTTCCTACCTGCTTAAAGAGTGTTTCTTACTTCATTACTCCACCTCCCTTCCCCTACAGCTTGTCGCACCAATATATGGAGGTGGATTTCTGGGATTTTAGGAGTGACTTGCCTTTTGTTGATGGCTACTTTGGGAATTGTGCTGAAAAAATGTAAGTTTTCTAGGCAAGTCTTACAAATATCAAAACTGGTGAAATAAGAGTAAAGATTTCCTTTTACTATTGTGTAGTATTTTATTATTTTATAAACTTATATCTTATTAAGTAAATTTCTAATCAGTTCTTATATCATTTCTTTAACAAAGTACAAAGCCAACAATCTCCCTAACACTCACAACAGAATTCCAGGGAAGCAGGTTCCATGCTTTGCAAACCTTGCTCTTAGAAGAGATGAAGTTAGGTTACTTGTTTTTCTCACACTAATCATGCTGGAATATTATACCTAGTAATACAAGTTCACCTACCAATCAATTGTAGGTAGTCTCATTTAATTGTTGTCTAGTATAAGAATTAATAACTTACATTGATTGCCCATCATTTATATCTTAAAAATATGAATGTATTGTCTGAAATGACATTTTTCTTATATGAGTACTCATTTCAAGTAACAAGTCAAGAATAAGTTACAGTAAATATGACAGCTAATCCTAATTACCTGGCTGTGCTTGCCCTTAATCTATATATTTTGTCCCTTTATCTTTGCTTTTGCTTCTTTCCTGACTCAGCTTAGTGCACAGTGCACAGATTTCTGCATTATCTAAACGTTGCTTATTTCCTAAAAGTCAAATCAATGCTCAACATTTTAATGTACTTTTCCCCAAAGCATTCCAAGTTGTCTTCTTGTCTTTCATGATCATATAATCATTCATATTTTGCCCTTAAGTTTTTTCTAGTTTTATTACAACATATTTGACATAGACTATTGTGCAAGTTTAAGTTTTGCATTGTGTTGATTTGATACATTTATATATTGCAGTATGTGCATAGTATTAGGTAATACCTCCATCATGTCACATAATTATTCTTTTTATTTTGAGAACATTTAAGATCTATTTTTTGTTGCAATTTACAAGTATGGTTAGCTAAAATATTTATAGTGTGGTTAACTGTAATCACAGTGCTGTGCATTAGAGCCTCAGAACTTTTTCATCTAACTGGGTGTTTATATTCTATGACCAACAGCTGCTTGCCCCATCACCCCTATCCCCTACCCTCAGCTCTTGGTAACCACATTCTACTCTACAATGTCAGCATCACTCACTTGGCAAAGATTTGAGTGCCTACCATGTTTATGACCTTCATCACTGAGGATAGTAAATGCTCAAGGCACTATTAGTATAAACTCTGTGATTAGATTTCAAGGTAATTGATTTATTTATCTTTATTTTGAATATCAAATATCCACTATGTATATCAGATATGATTCAGGAAATATCTTAAAATGTTTTTCTCCTTCAAATATCTCTTTGATCAATTTGCTCCAATTTAAAAACCCAAGATTAATTTGGATCACTTCTTCCAAAAGGATTCTTCTAAACACCATTACCCTCATATTGTATTCCTTCACACAGTGTTTTACATACTTGTGTATACTTTACCCAAAGTTAGTGTCATTAAATGTGATTATAGATGACCAGAAACCATATAATAGTCATATTATTCTCTATTGCTAGAATATAATCATCTCCATGAGGGTAAGGGGTCTTGACTAATCCACATTAATATTCCCTGAACTGTGGTGTATTTACTATATTCTCATTGAGTGTTTGTAGAAAAAATGAATCGATAACAAATGATTTTTGAATAAATGGAGAATACTGAAAAAATAAAATTTCCATTCACATAAATCATGTTTTAGTTTTTATCTTAGAGTCTGGCTGCTGTTCTTGTGGAGAAGGATGGATTGGGTACCAGTGCAACTGTTACTTGATTTCCACAGACCTAAAAACTTGGGAAGAGAGTAGAAATTTCTGTGCTTCCCAGAATTCCACTCTATTTAAAATGGACAACAAAGATGAACTGGCATGTATTTAGTTTTGATTATATATATATATATAAATATATTATAACATAACGTCCAAGTAAGCTGAATATTTTGATTTAAACCTTTCATCAGATAGTGAATGAATAACTATTTTCTGACTTGAAAGAATCATTGTAAAACTTACATAAATTATTCAAAGATTTATGTTACAGGAATAAATTTCAAGACAAATATCAGATAAAGTACCAGAAATGTTTTATAGATAATTCAAAGATGGAAAATAGGTCATTATTTTTACTCAAAGCACCAACTTAATGACTTTGCAATTTTTAGCTCTTTCATTGAATTTATAATTACTTTTGTAATTTTATGTCTTTTGTCATCATTTTGGGATATATTGTGGAATGTATGTGGAGGAAATGATCATAGCAATTGTTCAATTCTTAAGAAAGAGGGAAACATTTCTTTAGCAGTATGCAGAGCCTGTGTTGTGTAGAAGCTCAATAGATTATATCCTTAGAATTTATCTCTCAAGGTATCATTGATTTCAGATTAAATTTGAATGTCGGTGTCCTATGAAAAAAGTTTTCCATGAGAATTCTAACTCCATTTATAACATTTTTCATTCCTTCAAATAGTGAGATTTTGTGATATTTTATTCTCTAGAAATATAAGAACCAATGAAGTGTGACAACAGGAGGCATGTTACTATATCCTAAACTAGCTGTTAAAAATGCTTTCCATTTGTGTGATTGAAAAACTGTATTTGCTGTTGTATACTTTGATTTGTGTCTTAATCATACTTCATAAAAAATTAGGTTATTACACCAGAGTACATGTAATGTTTTTGTTTGTTTCTAAACAGCCCTTTATGAAGAATAATCCATATTTTCACTGGATTGATGGTACCTACAGTGGAAACCATGGGGGCCGGGCATGGGAGAATGGCTCTGCTGTGTCTCCAAAACTGTAAGTTTCATATAGTCAAGTCTTTTCTGTTCTTTATGGCTCTATCCTCTGATTTCACCAAAGAATGCAACATGTGGCCACACTGTAATTACATTAACCTGTCTAGAGCATGAGATTGCAGAAAATAGACTCAAGAGAACAACTATTTTAGCTTGATCTAGAACATCAAGTCTATTCTTAAGAAATATATAGTTTGTGTGGGATATGTAGGTCTGGATGCCCTGAGCTGGCCAGAGAAAACACTGTATCCATGATTTCTTTAGTTTGCTGGAGCCTGGTATCTATGCTCGCTTCTTTCATGCTATATCCTAAATTCAAATACTCCTTTATTATATTTAGTTTTGACTATATACTCTGTCAAATACTCTGCACTTATTTTATGTGTATTTGTAATCTTTGAATCTCATTTTCATTCATAAACATGTGGTGTGCAGAGTTTGGACAATACCAATTTTGTTGGTTAAAAAAAAAAGCTCTAGCTTGTTTTCTTAGATTGCTTTAGTCAAAGCATCTTTAAACAAAATAGAAGCAAAGTGTATCATATATCAAAACCATAATAACAAAGGCAAAATCAAAAAAAACTTGTTCTCAAAGCATTTGATTATTGTGGTACTAACTGAGTTTTTATAATACTCTACCCTGAAATCATGAAAACTGTGGCTTTAAATGAAAAATATAATATCTAAATATATTCATCTCTTATTTACACACTTTGAAAGTTAAAAAAAAGTGTCAGCCCTGAATATTCTCATTTTCTTTTGTGATGTGTTAATATCTGTATTTTTTTTAATTACAGATTTCCATTCAGTCCAACTGCAGATCCAAAATACTGCACAGCATATATCCCTAGTAATGGTCTTTTGGATGAATTCTGTGAAAATAAAAATTATTTTATCTGTAAGCATAGAATGAATTAGGTCTTTCTTGGGGCAGACATGGTGAACAATCAAGATCCACCTTAAGAATGGTATCTTTTCATCATATTATTACTAATAATCTACTTCAACACCCCCCCCCAAAAGCGTCCTCCAGTTGTGTCTTATATGATTTTCATATATTGGAGAAGATGTTTTAAGATTGATGAAGTTTGTGTTAAGATTATAAAACATTAAGATTATAAAAGATTATAAAAAATTAATTATATAAGATTATAAAATTAATTATATAAGATTATAAAAAATTAAGATTATAAAACATCAAGATAAAAATGTTAATGAATATTTTGATTGGTTAATATTGAATTTAATGTCATACATTTATTTTTATAAATTTTACTCACAGAAATTTAAATAAAATAAATAATTTACATCAAATAATATATCTCAGCATCATTTCATTCTTTGTAAGTCACTAAATTGTAACAATCCACCATTGGTTCCTGTTTCTGGAAGTTAGTTCTTTCTGGATATTTATATATTTTAATTTTCATATTTTACTATTATTTATCCTGGTGTAGGGCATTTTTATTTTAATTTTTTATTTTTATTTTTGAAGATTTATTTATTTATTTATACAAGCACTGTGTACAGTCAGAAGCATGGGAGGGTAAGAGAATTCACCAGAGCCAGAGCGGAGAGCAGAACAGGCAGACTGACGAAGTATACTGCTGAGGGGAAGGCAGTGGGCGGCAGGAGAGGTCTGTGTGCTATTTGGGACCCTCGCCTGGAGGCCGGGGATCGAACCTGCACTGCAGAGGCTGTGGGCAGCTTTGCAACGCTCAACTGCTGTGCCACCGGGGAGGCCCTCTAGGGCATTGTTATTGCCACTAAAATGCTACTTTCCATCCTCAACCATACAATTGACTTATTTCAATTTACCATTCAATTTACCACTCCTTTTACACATAATTTATTTCTGTGGTTTAAGAGTTTTTTGTTTGTTCACTTTTTAAAATCTACTTATGAGCAAAATTATATTTTCCTCTGTATGACTTATCTTACTTAACATAATATACTCTTGGTCTATCTATATTTTTGCAAATGGCAAAATATTTTCTTTTTTATAGCTGAGTATTATTACATTATCTATATCTGTATGTCTATATATATACCTATCTATATACACACACACACATCTTACATTTTCTTTATCCATTCATCCATCAATGTAAATTTAGGTTGTTTCCAAGTCTTTTAAGTAATGCTGCAATAAACATAGGGTGCATTTGTATAAATGTTCACTTTTTTCCAGCCCTCAGCAAATGTCTCTTTTCTTTTTTGTAGTAGCCACTCTCACAAGAGTGAAGTGATGTTAGTGGTGAAATCATTAATGGACCTTTCAACAAATGGTACTGAGATAACTAGATATCTATAAGTAATAGAATGAAGGTAGACCCCCTACCTGACATGATACATTAAGAAAAAACACCTCAAAATAGATCAATGACTATATGTAAAAGCAAAAACTATAAACCTCAAAGAAGGAAAGGTGTAATTCTTTTTTTTTTTTAAAGATTTATTTATTTGTTTGTTTGTTTATTTATTTATTTATTTATTTATACAAGCACTGGGTCCAGTCAGAAGCGCAGGAGGGTGAGAGAATTCACCAGAGCCAGAGCGGGGAGCAGAGCAGGCAGAAGGACAGAAGTACACTGCTGAGGGGAGCAGCGGGCAGCAGGAGATGTCTGCGCGCCATGTGGTACCCTCGCCCGGTGGCTGGGGATCGAACTGGCGCTTCTTTATAACCTTGGATCAGGCAATCGTTGCTTAGATAACACACCAAAAATACAAACAATGAAATAAAAAAATACATAAATTTGACTTCATCACAACTGAAACCTTGGATACTTCGAAGGTTAATATGAAAACGAAAATATATTTGTGGTATTATCATGTCCTCTGTAAAGAGAAACTGTTTCATTTCTTCCTTTCATGCATAATTCACTGTCAGTTTTTGACTCCCAGCTGCAATAAGAATAGTGAGCTAACCAATATCTATCTATCCATCCATCCATCCATTCATCCATCATCTATCTATGTATCAAATCATCTGGTTAACTTGGCCAGATTTTGCAGGAAACTTCTTGTTGAGCTTTCCTAAATCCAGGTATCAGCAGCTTCCCCAGAGATGAACCATGTCTTTATGCGAATAGGAACATTGGGGAGGTTTCATGGACTCCAGTCACTTGTTGAAATCTCCTTCCTCATTCCTTTCTCCTGCTGTATTATATTGTTCAACTTTATTAATATTTTACTTGAGTAAGCTCCTTGGAAACTTATGATTTCTTTCCTCTTCATTCCCCTTTTTCATGTCATTAATGTTGGATCTTCTGAAACTTTTATATTTATAACCTGGTGCAGGAACTTGTGCAAAGTTTTCTCTAAAGAACTAGATAGTGAGTATTTTCAACTTTGTGGGCCTGTCACTACTGAAACTCTTCAACTCTGCCATAGCAGTGAAAAGAAGACACTGTTAATATATAAATGGTCTGTTTACAGAAGAACTTTATTTACAAAAACAAGTGGTAGAGTAAATTTGGTGAATTTCCCAGTTTTTCTGCTATAGGTTCATGCTATTGTGATGAAAAATAAAAGATAGTTGGTATTATTTCAATCCTCTTAAATTTCTTTTTTTTAAATTTTTTTTTAATAGAGGCATGTTTTTATTTATTTTTATTTGTTTGTTTGTTTGTTTTGTTTATACAAGCACTGGGTACAGTCAGAAGCGCGGGAGGGTGAGAGAATTCACCAGAGCCAGAGCGGGGAGCAGAGCAGGCAGAAGGACCGAAGTACACTGCTGAGGGGAGCAGCCGGCGGCAGGAGAGGTCTGCGCGCCATGTGGGACCCTCCTCCGGTGGCCGAGGAGCAGCCGGGGATTGAACCGGCGCCGCAGAGGCCGCAGGCAGCTTCGCAACCCAGCGCTCAACCGCTGCGCCACCGGGGAGGCCCCCTCTTAAATTTCTGAAGACTATTCTGCTTTGTTCGTCTTCTCTCTCCCAATACACATATCAAATAACAGAAAAAAAGCAAATAAAACTGCACAAGACCCATGTCCTTTAAGCATCTCTAGAGACACAGTACCACAACCTGCAAATTAGAAAAGGAATTCTAACAAAACTCTCAAT